ATTGCGGTTAACGATCACTTTTAATGTAGTATAAATTGGTGATATATGAGATATCGATGAATCAACGCAAAATACTTACACTGGTAGCCATATGTAATGTTCCTTCAAGTAGTCAGCCACACGAACTGGAGGAAACCTGTTTGACAAATCACAACAACATAATAAATTGAACAAAACAACACAAATTCGTTGAATATTTAGCAATGAATTATATAATATCATACCTAGGAGGAGGAGATTCACTACAGCAACTCTTCAAGCATTCCACAACACAATCTGGACTTGGATCGAAAAACATCGCTACCTGATTTATAAAACATTTAACGAAAACTCCGAATTAGGATCCCTAGCTATGAAGTCGAAGAACAAAAACACGTTACAAAGGATGTTGGATATATACCGAATAACGTTCTTGTTCTGGCTTTGTTACTCTGTGATATATTGACTTAAACAAACAATTTGTCCACCTTTCCATCATATCTCCAACATTTACAATGAATCCCCTTCAAATTGACAAATTATAAGTTTAAACTAATCCTATTTAAGCTCATAATACTTATTTTTTCACGTAACACCATACAATTTTGTTTTGCCAAATAACAATCCCTTTGTTATAATTAATCTCTGCGTAACTAATATGTGAACAAACACGACCCTTAAAAGAATCATAGTAAAGTATGGTACATTAAAGTACCCATTCAACTGAGGCACATCTTCCCAAATCTGAGGTTTCTGTAATATATCTCTACAAACCTGATAAAAACAGGATCCAACTGAAATATTATAACTATCAACTGGACGTTGGTCACTTAACTTACGTCTACTAGTTATTATCTCAGAAAGTCATTTTTTTTCTTCTTTATTTTAATTTCCTTCAATAAAGAAAGTGACTTTCTGAGAGAATAACTACTTTTAGTTGAGTGACCATCCGAAAAATCTAACTTATTTTAACGTACCTGAAGTCCAGGAACACCATCGGTGATTAATATAGTTATCATTCCATAATCTGTATGAGCTCCACAACCATGCATATATTGATCACAATAATTTATTTCATCTGCAACTAGTAATTTGCTTGAAGAATCAGTTAATGTTCCTTATGTTTCATTTTATATGACACCTTTTTACTGCACACCGAGCATACTAAAGAAGAAAAAAGACGTTAAATTTTTATGATCTCAAACATGTCCTAACATCTCCGTTTCCATAACACATCCATCAAATAAGATCTCGAAATTGGCTTACCTGGATAATGCATAGGACGAAGAAGAGCCCCGGGAGGATTAAAAGCACCAACTTTTTCAAAGAAATCTTCATTCACATTCAAAGCTAGAGCAATGAGTGAGAGTACTCTTTTACCAAGATTCCTAATTAACATGAAGAAAAAACAACATATTCAGTATAATTTCAAACGCAGGGTCAGGGAAAAGTGGTGCATACGCAACCTTACTCCTATCTTGTGAAAGTAAAGACATTGTTTCCGAGACAACACTATGTAAATATAAGAGAGTTTATACTTACAGGATAACTCTGTAATATTCTTCCATTGTAGATCTCCAACATGGCAAAATTTCTACATGTCCAAAAAATAAAAAAGCATGACATATTTAAGTGAAACAATGTACTCCTATTAATTAGAAAATCAAGCAAATAACAATTACTGCGCCTCAATCCTGTACAAGTTGGGATCGACTATATAAATCTGATGCAAAATTGAGAAATAGTATGGATATATACCTTCGGTAGGCCACTGATTTAGATTACCATAGGGTGATATGTCTTCAGGTGCTCCAAAATATATGCTTTCTTTTGGATCCCCTGAAATTCCAATTAAAAGGGAAAGTTAATAAGCAAAAAGAACGAACCGTGTCCGGATCAACTAGCACACACCTTGATTAATTTTACAGGATACTATTAGTCTACTACCTCCACCAAGTATCAGATATTTATGTGCACCAAGGTTTGGACAAATGCGAAGAGCATATAATAACATTTCTATTAAATGTATATACAAGATTAAATTACTATTTTTACTTACATATAGTAGATATTGAACCTCTTTGACTTTTTCATGTATTTACATTGGCATATTTTTTAACCCCTTTCAACTATAAACTCATGCCATTAAGAGTAAAGATCTAAAGCTTAACATTCAAATTGTTAAATAAAAGTATATATATTTTTTTTGCAACAAAATAAAAAGTGAAAAAATGTTAAGACAAAAGACAACAAGGAGTGCCTAATCATCGGTAACTCAACAACAACATATTCAGTATAGTCCTACATGTGAGGCTAAAAACTAGAGAAGATAGAGTGTACATATTCTTATAATCAAGTGAAATTAGAGAGACTGTTTTTGAAAGATTCTCGACTTAAATAACAAATAAATCTATCTATCTAACGTAAGTATGAAAGTGGAAAGAACCTTTAGGATTGTCAACAAGATCAAGCTTCTCATCATAAAATGGTGTATATCCTCTATGATTCTTGCGAAGTACCTTCATCTTCTCTCCAATTGATAGATCAAAAAATCCTCTACTTCCATCGAAAACTCGTCGAATCAAATCACCTTCTACCTCATGATTTATAAGGTAAAAATATCCATTCTCAATACATGCCTACAAACAAATGTTCTCATCATTTAGCATTGAAACTTTTACTACTTTAACTTGTTGATTGAATCAATTTAAAGAGTATAGTAATGTACCTTCTTGAGTGAATCACTGAGATCTATAGAGCTAAGATCAATTATTGGAACTTGCAAAGCTCCCTCCATCTTTTTTTTGAAATATAAATACTACACCATAAACTATGTTCCTATACTATAAAGGATAAATACTCTAACGGGTTGTTTGGTACGCGACTACGCGGGATAATATGGGATATTTCAAGGATAAATTTTATCTCAAACTTAATTCTGAATATACACATTATCAATTATCTCATTCAACTTGGTATTTATTATTTTAGGGAAAATTACAAGATTAAACAAACATATACTAGTTAATTAGTCTTCATAGTTATAGTTTTAGGTAATTACCACTCAGGATCAACATTAGTGATATACCAAACCGTAAATTATATAAACGAGACAACTTAAACCGCAACTACAACCCTTGCACAATTAAGTTTATTATAGCGATTATTTATGAAAATAGGTGAAATAATTTAATTTACGGACAAAACGAGAGGATGCTTCAAGTTGACGCTAAATCATCGAAGTAATTGAACCAATAAACTATAATAGCTCTATAGAAAATGAAAAAAAAAGTAAGATTAAAGAATACACAAGTGGACAATAAAAAATTATTGAAGTATTGATTATTTTTTATATATAATATATAGTCGTGTTAAAGATAATCAGAACCTAGTTACCAGGAGTTTTACAGTATTATAATGAACGGACTTTAAAGAAATGTTATAGGATAACAATGACTAAAATAAACAGTTCGAATGTCCAATGCGTTAGCTAGGTGTTCGCACTAATAAGCATATATGTTATTTAATTATGATTAGGTAATATATATTTTCACTATATATAATAAAAAATCATAGTAAATTGAAGTAATTTGACGTAATAAAAACTTGATTTAATTTAAATAAAAATCTACGATAAAAGAAAAAGTTATATATTAAAGAGGAGAAAATACATAATTACTCCATCAAATTTATACCTTTTTTTGAAAAAGACACCTTAAGTTTGTGAGGGTCCTATTATTTCACGAAACTATCTTTAATCATGATAAATACAACATTTTAATCCATTTTCAGAGCATGTGCGATCTCAAGTTTGAGAGACGCGTGAATGAGACAAAATTAATCCCTAAGCCAGTGTTTGAGTGTCATGAGATGTCATTTTGAGATGTCACTATGAAGTTCTCCAAATGATAGAGCTTCTTCTATTGACTACTGTTAAAGTTCTACAAACATCTGCAATGGAATTTCTAAATTTTTGTAATGATTGAGAATGTCATCTTCATCCAGATTTATTTACAAAAATTTTAAGATAAAAAATGAAATTTGTCAATAATTTGAGCGTGTATGGATTTTACTCAACCCGTTATTAAAGGATCAGGAAAAAATAAGTTTACATTGTTTTAGTTGGGGGTGAGACATACACGCTCACAATGAGACAGCACATGCGGTTAAAAGGTGTATTTATCATGGTTAAAAATAGTTTTACAAAGTAATAGAACCCTCGCAAATTTAAAATGTCTGTTTCAAAAAATAATATAAGTTTCGTGGGTTAATTATGTATTTTTTCTCATTAAAGAATAACACCAAACTTCTCATAAAGTCATCCATCTTAGTGGAATCCAACACGTTGGTTGGTGATAATAATGTATACAATTGTCTCCTATCAAGTAAACAACTTATCAAATTGGTCAAAAGTTAAAGAATTGTTTTAATCACGATCAATAGTTGAGGAGGTATGGAAATATTTATTAGATGAAGAAAATCTATAGTCGGGTTCAATTTTCGTAACGATTGATTTGATGTGATCAAATTGTTATTTCAATATTTCCTTTTCACTTAGTCTTTATTAACTGTTTAATAATAATCATATTTTATTTTGTATCTTACCTTTTTATGATAGCTCTCATCTGTAGTTAAATTTTCTTATAGATTTATCATTCAAATTATAAGTATGACACGTTTAGATATGATATAATATAATATAATATAATAATATACATGTGCCAAAAACAAATACACATGACATGTTAGAAAGAGGACCCCATAGTGACATGTTTGTCAAAAAGAGGACCCTTAGTGACATGTTAGTTAAAAAAGAGGACCCCCCCCCCCCTCCCCCCTATTGTATTGAAGAAGGAAGAAATAGGGATTATTTGAGTACTATAAAATCCTCCCATTACTCTTCTTCCTTCACAAACCCAAATTTTTAATTTCCTTTTGTTAAATTATCATTTCAATCAAACAACTCATGGATATCTTCTACATTTATACAATTACAAAACTCTTTAATTTCTTTCAAGCTTCACATAGGTCTGTAACTGGGCCACAATTACTGTAGAAGTCATGAATAAAATGTGGTTATAACGAGTGCTACTAGTTCTGAAAAATCAAAATTCTCAGTTGACCTTGTCACTCATTTCTTTTTTCTTTGGAAATTATTAACCCCGATAAAATCTAAGTTTCCAAAGGCTTTAATGTTACTCGTCAAGTAAATGGTGATGAGTTGGTAATGTTAAGGTTTTTGGAATCTTGGATTTTATCGGAGTTAATGACTTTTGAAGGAAAGAAATGAGTGGCTAAGTCGATGGAGAATTTTGATTTTTCAGAACCAGTAACACTCATTATGACTACATTTTGTTCGCAGATACTACAGTGATTGTAGCCATTTTATGGACTCATGTGGGGTTAGAGCATTTTATGTCTATACGGAGGAGGTGGTTGGCGAGGCGGATCCAAAATGTTAGCTACTGATTCATAGGAATTTAGCAGTTTTTGCTCATATCTCGTATTAAAATATTTATAAGCATCTAATTGTGAAGTTTGTTATTATTAGAACGCGATAATACTACTCCTATTATTTCTGTTTTATGATCATAGAAACTCACTTGTATGAAATTGATGATTTTCATATCATATATATGTATTTGACCTTGTCATTGAAATGAAGAATTCCAGTTGATCTAATCTGTTTTTTTTTTAACGGAAAGAGGATAATTACATACTCAATCTTAGTAGCTCAATTGCTTGACTAACTACACAACGATAATAAATGAAAAATATCGTTTGTGAAACTTATTTTCCAAAAGAAAACACGTTTCAGTTCTTGTAAGTTCACCCAGACAGTAAACATCTCCAATAAAAAAGAACTAAATGATGTTAGACTACAACTTTTGAGATTCAGAATGAATTATTCAAAAACCTTACCTGCTTGAAAATGAAACCGGAAACAAAAATATCAGGGTCTCTTTACGCATCTATCTACATGCTTTTCAAAGAAAAGTTTTGGCAAATATGGGAACGACTTGAAAAGGTTACGATAAATATTTTTACAACCAAGGTTCAAATCGCTCATCTCACATACAAAAATTTTTAAATCGCGACATCAGCTGCTCTTTGAAACTATGTGCTGCATCCAAGTGAAAACCAGTGCAAGAGTTGGAAGAGGAAAGATCGTGGTGTGGAGCGTCAAATATCAGTTTCAACCTGAGTTTTACTATTTCCAAGAAATCCAAGCAGCAAATGTTATAAAAAAGAAAACTTCAATGCCTCCCAACTCTGGTCTGTCAACAAAAAGCCACATCCAGCAAAAGGGATACATGTTTTGTCACATTTTCAGATTCTATAACAGCAAGGGGTATCATCTCCTGGCAAGCCTCCTGCTTCTTCTCACTCCCCTTGAAGTGTGTGCAGGAGAAACAACTCCAGTGAATACAGCTGGTGAGGGGATTTCCTCGTCTTCACTGGTATCATCAGACCTCCACCTTGGTCCACCATTAGTTTCTAGATGCACGGTGGAAGGATCCTTTTCTTCATGGCTTTTTAAGTGATCATCAGGGTAATAAAACAAAATTAGATCAAAGTTCAGATGGCAACTAAACGTATGACAATTAAATCTGCCGCCTAAAACATAAGAGATTTGAAAAATAAGGTTTACCTCCAGCTTACATCCATTGAATCATTTAATGGTAACATCCGTGATCTATCAGCAGCATCTGACAGTTGACGTTTACCAGGATAACTCATGTATGAATCTTCAACTGAATGTTTTAATATGCCTCTGTTGCTACTAAGAGAATTGACATTGTTGCCGGCAGTCTGGTCAAAAATATAAGATTCCTTTGGAAACCCATTCTGAGACTTCTCAGGCGAAACTCTATATGTTTGAGAATTGCGAAGTCGACTAATAGAAGGTTCCACTGACGAATTCCTGCTGATCTTCATTACAGGAGCAGGAGGATTAACACGACGACTTGCAGGAGTCAAAATCTCATCAAATTTCAATTTTTTCCCAAGGATACTTTCAGGTTTCAACACTCCAGCATCATTAAAAAAAGCTGGGGAGCTGGGAGAACTATAATGCCCAACTTTAAAGCTCGACAGATTTAATGATCCCCCAAGTACAGATGGAGCGTCAAGAACAGAAGGTTTAACAACATCAACTCGCTGAATGAGGCCAGAAACGGTGGGAGGATTAACCAATAAACTGGTCATGATAGGTTCTTGGGCTACAGCATTGGACCTCTCAGAGATGTTGACTGTGTCATTGCAAGTAACAACCAGTTCAGGCAACTTCCCTGTCCTTATTTGCTGTTGTAAGATATCTGGTAACAACTCTACTCCCTTGTCCTAAAACAATTAAACTTTTTTTAGAACACTACAAACGTACATTGCAACACCATCAAAATAAGTAGTTGTAATAAATAACAACTGCCATTTAACCAAGTAACCCAGTCAAAGAAAAGCTGAAAAATGATCCAAGAGATAACAAGAAAGCAAAATGAGAAGTCCGCTACTTATCACCATTGAATCTATAAAATGACATTAAGTAGAAAAGGACCTCATGATCAGTGACCTACACAGCTCTGCGTCACAATTCAACTAGTTAATCCCTATCTTCTTAATCAGTACTGTAGCTTCAACTACTATTGTGATACTTCTACGTATATTAACTCTTAATAGTTTGTCTGGAAAGCAGGGTAGAGGATTGTGAAGCACTCCACAACCATTTCAACCTTTGATATGAAGCTGCCTATCTGAAACCTCAGTTATCACACAATTCGACTTTTTGAAATAGGCATCTACAAATAACTTCAACAGATAATGAAATATTCAAGGTTTCCCAAGATTTCATGCTCAGCCAAACTAGATAACATACTGGTCCAAGCATCCAATGAGATACAATCAGTAGTGGAACAATTAAAATTTATGACATAAGAAAGAAATCAATTTATGAATAGCAGTCCATATAATCTATTCGAATGAAAACATGAGATTTCATTTAGGCAGCGGTGTGCAACAAACCAGAGTATGATCTGGATTTTAAAAATAAGAAAAGAAAAGAGGACCATGATTCATAAGAACAAAAATAATACTATCAACTCTACCAATTTACGATTTGAACACCAAAACATGACACAAGTAAATATCCAAATCCTTTATATGCATATGGAAAACAACCAATCAAAATGTTGAAGTTCACTCACAACCAAACAAGTCCTCCAATGATTTATTGATCTGACCCTCGCTAAGACTTCTTCACTGACAGAATTTTGAGAAATGAAGTTCTCCTCCATGCTCTGAAGCTTCTGATCAACTTGGTATGCTTCAACATATCTATGACGCTTTACAAAAAGACATCAGTAGTACAATTGTTAGGCAACTATATGAAATCCCTATCGAGATGGATAGATTACAGGGTACCAAAAGTAATCATGAAATCATTTCCAGCAAGGACATAATGTGTAAAGTCAAGGACTTAGGTCTATAATAAACATGTTTATTTCTTTTGAAACTTCTATATTAAACATGTTTATCACTGCCAAAATGGCTCGGTTTAGTCCCTGTACCTGTATCCATACCCCAAAGTCTAAAAATTCAGATGATGAAGGATCCGACTTCCAGATCCACACCCGTATCACGGTATCAGACCCCTGTACCAGAGTCCAAGAAAATTAGATAATATTTATTCCCAGAAGTTAGTTATAGCTGTCAGGATGCCCTGAGTCCTGACATATGTTAATTCCCTCTTTTATATCTGTACTCTTAAATATCATCCACATGTCCATCATTGATTGTCCTAAATAAGTCATAACTAGGTAAGTGCAAATAGACCTGGGATAAAAGTTGACTAATCCAATTTTATCTATTTCACAATGTTTCTCAAATGTCACTCATCTGGATGGAATCTGATGAATTTATTAACCTACCTACCTATCAATGTTTCCTTGCAAATTCATAGTCTTCAACAAATATCTTTCAGAATGCACAGGGTGTTCAAAGAAAGAAGATATATTTGGAATCTCTTCTGACAGGGATGAACAACATTCCTTTCAACCTCTTCCTGTTACCAGAGGTATCTGGTTATGGCTACCAACTTCAATGGCTCTTACCCAGGTTTTGCAGAGTCAAAAAAAAAAAACTTTCAGAGGGAAACAAAATTCAAAGTCAATAGTCCAGTAACTGCCGGTAGGTTGCCAGTGAAAAATCAAGTGCAATATGACAAAAGTCTCGTCACTGGTGGCTAATGCCAAAAGGACTATTCAACGACACTTATTTCTTATTCTTATCATTAATAGGTAATAACTAGTAAATGAGTTCAAATGAAAGTGAGAATGTAAGTGGGTGAATAAGCTGCCAACATAAACAAGTTTTCTGAGTGCAACAGCAAGTCTGAGAAAATTGCAGAATAGAAGAACATGAAACCTGGATGTAGAAGGAAGTACCTGCAAGTAGAAAACTACAAGAAGACTTCCTATGGGCGTTGAAGGATCCTCGGCAGCAAAATCCAGCAGACATTTATGAATGTGCTTCTCCTCATCAGCAGTCCATGGCAGTTCTATCATGCGGTCAACTAAGTTCCTTCTAATGCACAGACAACAAATTTCAGTGACAAGGGTCTCCAACCAGAGACCCCACGACCTGCATTGGTCCTCTACTTCAGCAGAAGCACTCTGAAACTGTTCATCCCTCAACTTTTTTTCCTTGATCTTAGCACAGATAAGCCTCTGATACGTGAATGCTTCAGTCAAAAGTCCACATTCTACCCGCACACGGACAGCAGTTACAGCCTCACGAAGTGAAATTAGCTGTGTGCCATCTTGTCCAGACCACCTCAGAACCATGAGAGCTGCATCAGGGTTTCCCCGCTCCAACAGAACCTGAGCAACCTTCGGGTGGATTGTTGGGCTTGATATTTCTGGGAGAAGTTGACAGGCTTCCTGGGGTTACCAGTAACTGATTATCAGCATACACACCAGTCCAAAGACCATATCATTGCTGAAGAAGGCTCACAATGATGATTTCTTTATTTTAAAAAGGACAAAGTGAAGATACAATGACCAAGTCTATTCATGTTGTGGAAATGACAAAAGTTAAAACAATTCATAGGATCCCCAGGGAAAAACTATAAAGCAGAATTAGTTTCATCACATAAACTCTGGCACATGTTACAACTCATTAGAGAGCATATCTGAGATTAAATTAAAAATAACAGATATGAGATTATGATAAGATGACTCATACTACAACACAACGCTTTCAACAGCTATAATTGAAACGGCATATCCATCCTTACCTTCAGAGCCGCAACACCTTCATCATCTAAGAGGAAAAATGTAAAGGACTCCAATAGCGAGTGCCTGGTCACACCAAAAGTGGCAGCAAAATCATCGATGATGTGTCTCCACTCATCATCAGGTACTGTCCATTGCCGGTCAAACATAAAATACAAGAACTTTGAAGGATGAAGGAAAAGAAAAGGGAACATTCTCATGAAAAAACACTAAAATCAGCTACTTATCCCAAAAAAAACAATAAACTAGGTATTCTATTACAAAAGGATACAATTGCTTGTTTTGCAACTACCAAGTCTGAACTTCCACGTAAAAAGAGAATGTCAGCAGCAGCCCGCAAACTTTCAAATGGATAGCATCCAGCCATTCCCTCTATTTTTGACCGTGAGTATAAAGAGCCCTCATCTTTCTGTAAATAGGCAAGTGTTAACTCTTCTTCATGATCATCCAAGTCTCCCTGTTCGGCTGCTTCAATATTCGATAGAGCATCTTCAATAAAGAGTGTTGAAGCATTGTATTCATCAGAATGATTTACTATATCGGGCCATGCCCGTTTAATTGCAGCAGATTTCCTTTCACGACCCAAAGCTCGCCACGATGCATAATTTTTATGCCTGGACTTCACCTTCTCCAAGAACTCATGTCTTATACACCAAATCATTATCTCCATGTGCTGCAGATTGGCACAGTACTTCAAATCTCATAAAATGCTATCAAGAAGTTGTCTTACCAGCAAGATACAACACTAAAAAACAAATCAGCAAGTTACAAAAAAACGCTCTTTTGACACAAATTTAGAAAACACCTGTTGGAACCAAAGTTTTTCAATCGACATGCATGTGGTGATAATCACTAGCTCCTCACACCAACCAGGATCTCTAGTTAATGCAAGTAGCACAGAGAAATAGTAAATCTACTCAATTTCATTTTGTGTTGATACATATGAGTTTCTTCCCCGCTTGTGGGACTACATTGGGTATGTTGTTTTTGTACATACGTGTCTCTTAGAAAAAGCAACCAATAAATAAAACACGTAAAAAATAAGAAATGAGGAAACGGTAGCTTGGGTCCACTTGACAAGAATCTCAGGAAAGCTTACCTGTTTTGTCTTTAAGATGCTCTCTTGAAGGTGGTGCAAATCATGAAGCTTTGCAGAAAGAGAACCTTTAAATGATGATTCCAAGACATCAATAACGTTAGAGATACCACCTAACTTCACAGAGAACTTGAGAAACAAAGTCAAGTTCTCTTTCAGTGCAGTCATGGTTAGATTATCTATAATCAAATCAAGGGAACATTAACCAATCATTATTTCCCTTTGATAAGGAATTACAAATACAGTTTAAGTAAAATAATTAGGATACACATCACTTGAATCTCGGTCAGAATATTGTTGAACGTCCTCTTGCACCAATCTTTGACCACCACTTCATCAAGCAAGAAGGCAATGATGGGATCACTTGACACAGCACTTTCATCCATACAAACATCTGTCACATCTGTTTGCTGCTGTTAAGACAACATAATAAATCATATAACCAGCTACTAAGAAGTTAAGAGGCTCTACTTTCTTAAGAAAGAAAAGAACCACACAACCAACCACCTATTTATTCCTTTTATGGTTATCTTCTGACTATGCATCAGTAATCCTTCCTTTCGCAAGAAATTAACAGAACAACAAAGAAAAATGATTCAAAAGCTTTTGCACTCATTTCTTTGCAAGAAAAATATCCGCAACTCGGAGGATGTTAGTCCCCCACAGGTCTTAGTATGAAAAGGATACAGTGGCATATTAGAGAAACCAGACTGTTTTCCAGTGCCACATCAAACAAAGCATACAGACGCTGGATATCAGCAACCAGTTGCTTATCACTGTCCTCTTTCTCTTGTAATCTGTCATCACACCTCTTGGAGATGAGACCTGCCTCAATGCACTCATAGTATAGGCGCAGTCGAAGTCTATTAGCATCTTTTGGCAAAGAGATCCTACATATGGGGCAAACTTCACATCTCTGACTGCATTCCTCGCATAAAGAGGCATGACCACATGAATTCAACACACTCTGTACATGTCGTCCACAACTTCTTAGATCTCTAGTTGCTCGGCAGTGCTCTACTTTGGCCTCATCGCATAATTCCAGTGGATCAATTGATGCTAAATGCTTCAATGCTCCCTGTAATGAGATTCAGCTATGAGTAATTCCATAAAACTGGAAAGACTGTCCATCACTTAACATAATATTAGCAAAAGGAAGGCACTAGGCAGCTGTAAGCCCTGATCATAGCAAAACTACTAATGGAGCAAATGGTGCTAGTAGGGGAGGGGAGGGGGGGAATGGACTTCCTTGGTAAGTTGCTGATCGTCAGGATACTACTAGACCACCACCAAAAGATATTCGTCAAATTTACTCAACACAAAGATCGACCCAAAGTCATATAGTAAGGAACCACTTTTTGTACCATTAAAGCAGCTGGTATATTGAACACAGCACAGTGCACTTCCCTTTCAGCAGAAAGAAAAAAACTCAAGGACGTGTGCTTGGTGTGACCGAAAATACTTTCAATTTTGGCTAAACGAATATATTTTTCCGAGGAAAACATTTTCCATCAGAGAGGGGAGACTCCTCTCACTAATGAGCGGAATTCATTTTCCTTTATAACTACCACAATTATTACCCCATATCCTAGCTCCGAATAGCAGTTAGACATTATTACCAATCTGTAATACTAAAATGAAACGTTAAGCACTATCCATTTTAGAAAAAAAATCCACTAACCAACCAAACACTGAAAATAAGTGAGAAAGCCATTTATTTTCTAAATGACTTATTTTCCAAAAAAAGAACATTTCCCTTCATACAAAACACACAAAGGGAAAGAAAACCAGCAGTGGTAGCTTGCTTAGTTCTCACTTGTTCCTGAATCCATGTCTTAAGAGAAACTCAAAAACTAATTTATTTTTTTATTTGAAACTGGTAAATTAAATTGAATAACTAACATATATTCTCAACAAATGAATCATCTTATTCTTGTTAGTAAATGCAAGTGTTGCTCACAGCTGATATAAAGAAGCTTAAAAGATGAGAAATTTGGACTTTTTGGAATAGTTACAGATTTCCCGACGGCAACCTTATGCATGTAATTTTACATGCAGATAACCACAAAGATGCTTAACGAAAGGCAGTTTTTTATCAAATGGTTGGGTACAAAATAAACGATCACAGTAAGTATTCCCAAACAAAGCCTAAAGGAAAATAGAGAGGCAATGATGTATAAGAGAGAAGAGCTCCATGAATATAAGCTATACTCAATGTGATAATTGGCTCTTTAGCAGAAACCCCCTATGTCAAACGAAATATTAATGAGAAAAGCTTTTCAGTAATAAATCTCCAGTTTTATTTTTTAAAGCCGTATCTCCATTTGCCCTGTTTCAGCATACATACCATACACAATCAGGGTTCCAACAAGAACATCTAACCAGAAAATCCTCCTTATGCGACTAGAACGCACAACTGCAATAGACCTAGTTGGCTAACTGACCCCACACTACCTAGACAAAGCTTGCAAAGGAGTAACATTGCAAAATAGAGTCAAAATGAATATTGAGAATACTATTCAAGGTAGCTTCAAGACACTTATTATTGCCCACAGCCCCCTTTCTTTCTAAATCCTCGCTCCCTGGTAGAAACTTTGAACTCTTTAACAACAAACAAAAAAAACAGTGTCATCTCACAAGTTTGGGTCTGGGGAGTGTACGCAGAGCTTGTCCTTACCCTGCCTCGGAAGTCCAAAACAAGCATATGACAAAACACACTGAAATAAAAAGGAACAAAAACTACAACGAAATAGTGTGATAATCAAATCACAGAAGATAGAAGATGATAATTAGAACTCCTTTAAGTCCCTCCCCCCCCCAAAAAAAAAAATTCTCCTTACCTCAGTATTCCTAATTTTAACTATACATACAGCAAAAACATTAGGAACATCTTAATCTCAAACTAGTTAGGGTCAGCGACAGGAATCATCTATATCCATTTAATTCTAATTGGATTCATGTCATCACAGTACGCAACAATTAGCCTTACAAAACATAAACTAGATTCCTCTAAACCAGAAGTTCTCTAAATCAAACAAAATCCAGTGTAACAGGGAAGTCCACACTTCCCAACCACATCTATTACTATAGCACATTTCAACACAAAAAGAATGAAAACAATCTAAATTAAGCTATATAAGCAGAAAAAACGAAGCAATCAGAACATAGATTTAGCTTAACTAGTGAAACTAAAGGTGAGAGCTGTAAATGAAAATGAGGTGTGTGAATACTGTACCTGTACACGGCGACAAGTGTAGTTCGGAGGGCAAGGTGGAGGAGAATACCGGAGACCGGAACCGCCGGTAACAGAGTGATGAAGTAGTGAGGATTCGTCGAATCTCCTTCTCTCCATTAGTTGAGAAATTTCTTTAGCCCAAACCTAATGGCCGTTGTACACAAATGAGATTTCGAAGCGTAACTAACAGAGTTTCAGCGCAACGCCGCCGTTGTTGCCGGTGACGGGAGGAGGAGAAGAGTAGAGAGGGAGGGTTTTTGAAACACTTTTCAAGTGTGACTTCGTTTGTTTTTTTTTCCTCCTTCCGCTTCCTGTTTTTACTTCTTTTTTAATTTTAATCTTTTTTTTCACAATTTTTCGGCTCCATGAGGTAATGACAATCTTGGCATAAAAAATTATTCAAAACTTAAAAAGGGGTGAAAAATAATTCTCCCAAAAAACACATCATATTTTATTTGTGAACACCTAATATTTTGTGTATTCAATTATCCAGAATATTAGCATTTTTCATGTTTTATTCATGTTAAATAAAATTAGCATTATATATGGCTAGTTTTTCAATGTTTGCGTAAATTTTAATATCGTTTATTCGTTATTTAGTTATTATTTGTCTTATTGATATGGGAGAATATCTTAATACGTTGTTTGTCAATTTATTATACAGTATTTTGTAAGATAAAATGAAATACGAATACTAGTAATGCATGATTTAAAACAAAAAAAATTGCATGATTTAAAATAATCAAAATAACTATAAACAATTTATAAAAATAGAACACATCTTTAAAATTATATTGTATAAAAAAATTTACTCGTGTAATTATCTCTACTTATGTGTTAGAATCTCAACCTAATTTATTAGTCAATTTTAAGAAGTAACTAATTATAATAAACTTTAAAAAATTTAAAACCTCTTTTGTAAATACTACTTTATAGTGACAAGTTGTATGTTAATTGTTAATTTAATGCAACTTTTTAAAACTGAGATATGACAATATGAGAAAATTTATTTAAACAAAGCTTTATAGAGTTTAGAGTTGAAAAAATCACTTCTCCTAAATAAAATGTATAAGGGGACACGTTTTTTTTAATTTAACCAAAATGACAAGTCACTTGGGAAATTTCATAGAAATAATAGATCTAAAACTCTAGCGCAAAAATTGATGAACTTCGTTGACACACTTGATCAACTAATCTTGAAATCAACTTTAGAATGAATTTATTTATAAAATTACCATATAACTTATATTGCGATTAGTTAAGATTTAATAACTTCTATTGCGATTAGTTAAGATTGTAGTGTTATTTTTATCGAATAACAACCCCAAAATAACTGATTTCAAAATAGTTAGATTAATTTTTTCTTAAAGCTAAGGTTACTCAAAGGGAGATTAGCCACCGATGACTTATTACTATCAAACTTGGTCAATGGAGCCTAAAATATTATTGTTATACAGAAGAAGTCAATGAAAATATTTTGTTTTTTAAAATGAGATGAAATTTTCTTTTGATCAAGTGTATTCTGTTAATCCGATGTTAATCGTTATTACTATTTTTTTTAATTCGTTTTTTGTTAATCGTTATTACTAGTATAGTAGTATATATTGAAAAAGAAAAAGAAATATCAATATACACTGCGTACATCCTAACCTTTCCGAGACCCCACTTATGGGAGGGTTACACTGGATATGTTGTCGTTAAGAGTACAACTAAAGGTCCCCAAAGTAAGTCAAGATATATCTTCAATGAAAAGGTCTCTTACCAAAGATTAAATGAAAGTGGCATAAACTTTCTATGTTTTCCAAGAGGTTCAAAACTACCATTTCTGTCCCTCTATAACCAACAATGAACTGCCAAATTGAGGGCAAAAAGAATGCTGATATAGTATGTGCATCCAGCAGACTCAACTTGCTTCGATAACTCAGTCCTCAATTAAGTTTTTTTTGAAGCTCCCTTGAAATGCAATGATAGTCTGGTGAAATACAACGATAGTAAACGGAAATGTGAGCAAGGACCTACGCACATACATAGACGTTCTTTGTATTCCTTTCCTGGTCTTGCCTCTGTTCTAACAGAATCCAATATGTTCTATGAACAATATTGGTATGCTAGAGAACATACATGCAAGCTTTTATTCAAGTGTGACCGACAATATGTTATCCGATAAATCAATATACACCGAGTTGGGAAAAAGAAATTCAATTCTTTCCAAGTCACATAAGCATGATGTACTTAATTTCAATAACTAAAAGGGAGATGGAGCAAACGAAACACAGAAATCAAGGATGAAGAAGTGCTTAAAACCATAGATCAACCAGAGACTCTAACGCACATTTTCTGCACTTCATCGTCAAGTGTAAGACAGTCCGAAAGTAAAGTTTAATACACCCCACCATATATTGTCAGATGCATTAAGACTGAAAATATATATGGCTAAATTTAACTCCCTTTCGAGAACATCTAGAAATCACTTGACCAAATACTGCACTCGACAATCTATAAACAAATATATTTAACTTCTTGATTTCTATGACTTCTGTATAGTTGCATCATACGATTGCCAAAGAACTTTATAACAAGAGCAAAAACAGTATGGATATACATTCTTTTGAGGGCAAGAGACGTCACAAGGCAACATGAACATGTTATCTTTTCGACAAAAGATTATATACCTGCCCTTCTTGTGCTGTATCCAAAGGTGAAAAATTTACCAAGCATAAGATAGTTACCGACTCAAGAAGGTATCCTCAAGTCTTATCATGACTCATAGAAATCAAGTAACATGTACAGAAAACACATAAATAGTTCAACCTTTGTCATGTTCACCACCATTGACATTCATGGAACTGCAACCAGTTTGCGAAAATAACAAAATCTATTCATCCAAATCTCAAGTTCCATTCTTTACATATATTAGGTTACCATTGCAACCAAACTCTTTCCAAAATATATGTATATGCTACTAATTAAAACAAAACTAGATATAATTCCAAGATACTATCCTATTCCTTTTATGTAATTCAATACATTATACCTCCTACAGTCGAGGCATGAATGCAGCCGTCCTCAAAGCTCTAAGCTTTCCCCCATTTGTGTTCCTCAATCCTTGCAAAATCTGCAAAACCATCAATAATTCTAAAACACTCAATTCCAAAAATTACGAAACAATTAAAGATCAACATGGAGTTATAGAACCATATATAACACACCTTCTCCACAGTAGCGAAAATTTGGATACACCAGCTATATCATATCTACTTCTGCAACAAATATATGATTTTTAATCCTATCTTTAACTCATATAAAGCAGATTAACATCATATAAAACATGAACACACAACGCGAATCGAGCTTATACCGTAGTATCATTAACTCTGAATGAATCAGCAGTGACGCCTACTAAATACAACCCAGGGAAAACATTCTGTAAACATATTAAGCAGAATATAAGAACAAACAGAGAAAGCATAAAACAAACATAAAGATGCTGAAGTTTTATTACATACATCGAGCTGTTTCTGAATTGTCTTGGATCGTTTTTTGGGTCTTCTAGCGGGTCTTGACCCGGTCATAGAATACACATCTTCTTCAATCTCTTCCCTTGACAGTGAGATCCATAGTTTCTTCTTCCCCTTTTTACCCGACCCGACTCCATTTCCATCCGCGTTATCTTTCAACCTCTGCGACCTCTGCATATGATTACTGCTTTCAACTCGCATTTCAACGTTCTTCAACGACGTCGTCTCAACCTTCGTAACACCCCTTCTTGGCCTTAGATTCCATAACTTCACCTCCCCTTCTTCACAACCCACTTCTTCTTCTTCTTCTTCTTTAACCTTTTCTTCATGCTCCTCTCTTCCTTGTAAAGACGAAACCCCATTAGGGTCTGCCTCTGCCTCCGATCGGGGTTGAACCTTCTCAGAGTCAGACCCACCGTCCACGTCGGCGGTTTGGGTTGGGTTATCTCCATTAGACGGCGGAGAATCACGGCGGCGGAAACGGTGGTTAGCATTTGTGTTACTTTTGTTACCCCACTTCAATTGGGGTAGAGAGAAATAGTGCAGAGGCTGAGACTTGACCGGTGCTGTTGCCATTACAAAACAGAGGACTGGTAAAAACACCCTTTTGGCTCAAATATATGACGAAAACAAGAAGAAACGGTACTGTGTATTGAAGAATTATGGGGTCTCTGGAGAAGAGAAACGACGACGACGGCGCCGGTGGTAAACAAGAGAGGTTTTTTGTAGGAGAAATGGTTGCCTTGTTATTGTGGGCACTGTGAAACGGAATGAAGAAGCAAGTTAAAAGGGATTATATATGTGATGTAAAAGGGATGGGATAGAGTATATACGTATAAAATGTGCATTATGTAACCATAGGGTGGGTGGTTAAACTGTTTATTTCGTGACTCAATTTACGTGATAGTGTTTGAATGATAAAAAGATAAAATATAATAAATTATTTTTGAAAAAGAGAATATTTTAAAAATTTGTTATTTAAGATAAAAATGTATAGTTACAAATTGGTTTATAAAGAGTTAAATGAAATATTCGAAGTTAAAATATTACTAAATATGAAAACATATTATTTTCTTTGTCTCAATTTTTGTGATATAATTTGAATTTTAAGAATTAAGCAATTATCTAATTTTGATCCTAAATTCGTATCTGAAGTCTTTTGAAATAAAATTTACGTATTTGAAAGCTATGTAAAAAATAAATAATTGATAATTAATAGTTCACGATATGTAAAAGATACAGAGGTGTATGCACGAGAGAGGTCATTGAGTTCACGTGACATACGCCCCTCGTGAAATCATACGGAGTAGAGCTAATATTTTAAATCTTTTTATTAAGTATAGATGTGTGAACACATAATCAAATAATCGTATAACACAATAATAATTATGTGAGTCTCCCATAAGAGTAGAAGTTTGAATTTTATATTTATCTTGCAGAGTATTATTTTTCTTTATAAAATTAAGTAAATAAATTTAAAATTTGATAGAATATTGTTACTTTGATTATTAGAAATTCCATAAACACTTTTAAAAAAATATATATATAACTAAATTTAAAACTTAAAAGACGTCATATATTATATAAATTGAAACGAATAAAATATTTTTAAAAAAATTAACTATAAAAAATATAGCACATAATTGACTGCTCTAAGAGCTTCTTGCACTCGTTTATCAAAAAGAAGAAAAAGAATCTAATTTAATTAATTAAAGAGTAAGAAAGATTTAACTCTATAAAAGAAATTAATGTGGGAGATTCAAACATTGTGAATTATTATTGGGTGAGTTTATCATCCATAAA